CAATTAACAATCATAATCAATTTAAAATTTTCAAAATAATTAAATGCATAAAATTAATCCAAACAATCAGTGCTTAAACACTAGTCAAACACACAGACATGTCTGATACATATGGGAATCAACCGCAGACACCACTGCCCGGCACCGGGCGAAGGGTGCAGACATCTCAACACACAGGCGTTGTCACTACACAACCAACAAGCGCTTGGCTGCCGCCCACACCTACCACTCCGTCGACATTTGCAGGACATCCCGGTGTCGGTCAGCAGTTATTTTCCTACAACAGTCCCAGTATTGGTTCGGCTCAACCGTCGCCCCCTCCCGGCGCTCTCACACCAACAAGTTTGCCATCTAATAGGCACCCGAGTTGGACAGGCAGTGAATCAAACACAAGTACTACCCCATCGCTCCCACTTTACCGACGACCACGAAGAGTGGCCTTACCCGGCGGTGTCGTACCGGTCATGACAGGGCAACACCCGCTACCGGTATTGGCACCCCCTTCCCCCTACCTACCACCAATCAATCGTCTCGAAGGCCAGTACGAAGTGGCGCCCCGCGGCTATGAGCCAACACATGTGCTCCCGGATCAGAGCCTATCCGGTGAAGTACACGTCAGTAGCGGCGATGAGTACAGCGGTTGGTTGGGAGGTCTGGTGCCCACCCGTACCGGTTACGCAGCGTTGAGGGCCAAGACTGAGCGCGATGTGGCCAAAGTACGTGAGTTGGGCTTTGATATTCATATGGGCACCGGTAAGGAGATTGGCGAGGGATCGTTTAGCCAGGTGTTTCCCGGCACTTACACCTCACAGGTATATAATCAACCTAACGCTTAATTACATTGTATTTAATTATTTATAATTATAATAGATACGAGAATTTCAAAGCACTAGACAGGGCAGGCGCCTGACCCAGGTACAGCCGGGGCAAAGGTTTGCCGCGAAATACGCTCAGTTGGCCACCGGTATCAGTGCGGTTCCATACCTGTGCCTTATCATCGAGAAGGCTGTGATGAAAGCGCTGAGCCATCCAAACATTATGGCCTACAAAGTGGTCATTAATATCGGCCAAAGAGTGATACTTCGCAATCTAGCGGGCAATCAATCGCCCGACCATATGGGCTATAGGCGGGTCTTTTTGATCATGGACTTTGCCGACCATGGCCATTTGCTTCAGTTTGCTGACCAAGACAATAAACTCACCGATCAATTGACGGTGAGATTCACCGGCGAGTTGGGCTCAGGTATGTGTTACACTCAAAACCATTAATTATAAACATTTAATAGTTTTAAAAATTAATTTTAAATGT